TGTATGTAAGTTAGAAAGGAGTATATACGGCCAGAAACAGGCAAGTAGGTGCTGGCATGAATATTTCATAAATGCTCTTAAAAAGTTGGGTTGAAACAGTGCACGCACGATCCTTGCTTATTCTACACGAAGGAGAAAAATGATTACTTATGTTGCGGTATTCATGTGGTTGACATGACAGTGGTGAGCAGCGCGGATTCGTTCGATGCAAAATATATGGATGGGTAAACCAAATACGTAGAATTGAAGAATTTTGGAGCTGCGAAACAAGTGCTTGGTATGCAACTAATTCAAGAAAATGGGAAGATATTCATGAGTCAGAGGAATTATATCGAGAATTTGTTGGAGGCCTATGGGATGATTGACAGTAATGAAGTGAATTCTCCAATGGATGTGAACCAAAAACATAGTGAAGACGAAGGGAGTCCGAAATGTGATGAGAAGGCTTATCGAGAATTGTTAGGACGTCTAATGTACCTCAGTGTAGCTTCAAGACCAGACATATCATATTCTTTATGTAGCCTATCACAATTCAATAAATGCCCAAAAGCGTTACACTTGAATGCATTAAAACGTGTATTGAGGTATTTGAAGAAAACAATGGATTATAAAGGCGAATATGGGAAGGAAGATTCTGCGAAAGGAGAGAGATGCGAAACTGATGCATAGTGGGAAAGCACGTCGGACGCAAAGACATTTAGTGGATTGCTGGTGTACCGAAATAATGATCTCATACATTGGAAGAGTAAAAAACATAGCAGGGTTGCATTGTCTTCCACCGAGAGTGAATTTCAAGGCATGCTAGAAGGATAGAAGGAAGTGATTTGGACTAGTGAAATGTTATAGGAAATGGGAATGTCAGATGACGCTTATAAAGAACTAAAATGTGACAACTTAAATGCTGTGAAACTAGCGAATGGGGGGAATTTTAAAACGAGAACAAAAATATTAAATGGAAAATGTCACTATATTCGGGAGTATGTGTGTGAATATAGTGTGATAGTGATACATGTTCCAGAAGAGAGATTGTTGGCTGATTGTTTGACGAAAACGTTAAGTGGACCCACGTTGTCAAAAATTGTAAATAACTCTATGAATGTTGAAGAATAAATGAAACCAAGGGGTGAGAGTGTGGATTAGGTTTTATTAGTATGAATGCAAATGTGTGAGGGCGAGTAATGGCACGAATGTGGATATGTATGTTTTTAGAAGTGCGAGTGGAAGATCTAGAATTCGTGGTGTTGTGCAGTTGCAATGGATCAGAGTTGATATGTTATAAGAATGTTCAGTTTGTTAAAAGAAGCGTCAGAGTAAACATTTGCGTTATAAGAGGTGCATAATTTACAATTTTTTAGTAAATATACGATTATTATACAACAAACTCACACTAATTCTATTTAATACTCCCTTTTGTTTTTTTGAAAAAAGCTCTATTCTGATCATGAATAAATTTATCAACATTTAGACAAGCTGAATATGTATTTAATTGAGTTCAATTACCAATTAAATTGAAATACGGTAAATTAGTTATTTCTTCAATTGGTAAATAATTAATTGGATTTCTGAATTCACATTCTTCAATGGGCCAAATATTTGGTTTCAATTTGGTTATTGTAGAGCCTATAGCAATTTCTTTTGCACCACTGAGTACTGCAATTCTTACCTTTCCATTTTGCATTATTACTCAAGTTAATTTTGCACTGTCACACTCGTCTTGTTGAAAATGTAATTGTCCTGATTGTTCTTGGCCATTACGTTTTGCCACTATCTCCATAAAGCTTGGCGTTGGTACAAGTCATGTTAATTTATCATTTTTAGTCAATATTCACATTAGAAATCATTTTTCTGATAAACATTCTTGTAAACCAAATATATATAATTTTTCAAGCCATTTATTTATATCCTTTAATTTATATCAAGAATCTATTAAATCTTTATCTTTACTTTGGAATAATATGCCATTACCTGATCTCTGAGCAATAACCATATATATATCTGAATATCATTCTACTTTATCAGACGTACCTAAATATGGATATGGACTATTGCCTATCACATTTATCACTCCATATTCAGAAACTTAATCTTATCTTCATTACGGAAAAATAAATTATTTATTTCTTCAATTAATCGTTTCATATCATTCGGTAATGCATAACAACCACAATCTGAAGTATCATCATGAAAATCTAACAATTGTTCTTCATTGTGAGCATTATATATTTTAGTTTTAGACAATCATTGAATTTAGTTGTATTGGCTTTTAGTGTTCGGACATTTATTTCAATCATAACTCAATATACTTTTAATTAATCCAGTAATATTAAAATCTATTCTATCTCTTAAATACATTATTGATGTATAAACTGGTTCAAAATATAATCAATTCATATTTCGTTCTGTTTCTTCAGCATTTGAACCATTAATGAATGGTTGACCACCATTACCATAACCAAGATAAGGAGTAAAACCATAAAATATAACATGATATTTTTGTGCTTCATATAAATAGTAATCAATAACACCATCTGCTAATGCATAAGTATTTTTAAATTTCATTGTTGCGTACTATGATAAAATTCACTTCCTTTATGTCTCCTACTATTATCATTTTCCCCAAGAAATCATAATGGTGAAGCAGTTGAATGAACAATTTAACTTGTTGCCATGCCTATATCTAAATTGCCAGTTGTTTTAGATACTTGAAAATCGAAGTTAGTGTTAACGTTATCTAAATATCTTGCATTTATGACACCTTGTAGATCACTAGGTGTACTATAATATCAACTTTGTGCTTTAATAGGTTCTAAAATTTGCAATTCTTCTAAATCACTAATTTTATCGTGTAATAAACTATGTTCACTGATTTGCCAATCTGAATAATGAAATAATTTAAAAATATTATTTGCTATAATATATTTTATTTGCTCAGTTTCTTCTTTCATAATTGCTAAATTAATAAGTACTCTATTATACATATGGGTAATAAAGTATTGATAAATATCAACTGGTTTACAACTTCTAATTTTAATAGTTCCTTTAGCATTACCTAATGCAAATGTAATTGCTTGAAATTTTGCTTGACTAAATTCACTTTCTTCTTCACATCATTGAATTGCTAAATCAAAGCCACTTATTTCACTACGAAAATGAGCTTTTAAGGGTATTCTACCATTACTTATTACTACATACACCCATAGCCCTAATAAATGATTTACTATTTTTAAATTTAATGTCTTCATTATTTGGGTATTTTAAATTATAACCTTTAGGATCAAAAACAATATTAATTAATACCTCATCAATTTCTTTTGTTAATTCATTAACATCTATATTTGATTGCCTGGAACAATATATAACAATTGATTTAGTATCTTTACTTAAAATTGCTATTAATATTGCTAACTCTTCTGCAATACTATATGCTTTACGGGAATATCTTCTTCCACTCAAAGTGCATTCAGTATGAGTGAAATCACTTTTATGTAGTAACCAATAACTAATTTCAATAAGTGACTTCATCATACATAATCTCTTCCTTGTAATTCATCTAAGTTTAAAATTTTCCCAATTTGTTAGAACTTGGTATAGTGTACATAAATATACAATTTTGATTTATTTGTAAATACGTTTTCAAATTATTTATGTGTAAAGCTACCTAAAAATTTAGGAAAACGGCTGCGATCATATATAAATTCTTTAAAAATTTCTGAATAATCATCTTTATCACTAGTATAAATATAACCATGACATATACCATATATTTTATTTTTAATTAAATTTTATTTAACTGCTATTATACCTTGTTTCGTCCCAACCACTTTCCGTTTTGGACATGGACAAGGAGTTAGACAAACTCTTATTCATTTTCTCAAATTACATCAGTTAATAAAGTTCTTGAATTAATTTTTATGGGTATTTCTATATTTACTCCTTCTGGTGATTTTATTAGTAATGAATTACTTTTAATTTCATTTAAACCTTCTTCCTTTAATACTTTTAATCTACATGTTGCTTCCCCACTATATTCACAATTAAGAAGTAATGTTTATATGCTTCCTCCATTAATATTTTCTGCTTTCATATGTAATGTAGCATCGCTATTACCAATTTTTCTTGTTGCAATGCGATAGGTACCAGCACGTGTCGCATTTTCTGGTGTAAAAGGTACAACTTCTTTATAACCATTTTGCAACCCTTCATCTGTTTCATAAATTAAAAATGCACGATAAATAGCATTTAAACTGGGAGAAAAATTACTTGAAGATTTATCGTCTATACATTCACCTATCATTCTTCAGACAAGATTTTCAATCAATTTTTTTACTTCTATAACTTTATTATCTATGTTGACTTTATTTTCAATAATATCACCAACAACTGGTTTATTAGTAGCTTCTAGATTAGGAATTTCTTGACCGTTAGCATTTATAACAAAAGGATATGAATATTATTCATTGTCCATCTTACCTTCTGATTTTTAGTCTACTTCTGATTTAGTATAACACTTATTTGGCTCCAATCCACGAGTAGAATTAATTTTAATACCACTATCAGGACCAGTTATAGTAATACTATCTCCAGCGTTATTTTCTCCCAATTATGATTGTTTACTCTCAATGAATTTACTTATTTCATCACTAGTACAAATTACTTTTTCTTGCAGACATTTTTCACAATTTACTAAATGACAAGCATCATCTGAAAAATATTGTTGAAATGAATTTTCAGATGTTAAATTATTTAAACTTTTAGTACCAGTAGTATCAATATCTGCTACTGCATTATCTAAATTTTCAGCATGACAGGCATTCAATTTTATTCCATTACCACTAATTTTAAGATTAAACATTTTTAAATATTCTTCTAATTCATCAAAATCACCGCGATTACTTGTAGCGTTAGAGCAAAACCCTGATTTATTAGGTAAAGTCAGGTTAAAGCCTTGTATTTTTGGGTATTCACGTATATCTCGAAAATTATTAAATATCCGTGGTGGTATTAAATATGGGTCTCCAGGATTATTTTGTGAATAAATTATACCACAATGTCCTATAATTGCTTGACCACGTGTATATTCAGCACCTTTACTTAATAAAAAGTTAAGATAATGTGTAGTTGCTGTTTCTATATTATCAGTAAATTTAGTTGAATTTACGTCTTGTCATTACCCTGAAACAGTAAAGCCACTTAAATAATCAATATTACTAGTTGCAATTTCTATTGCACGTCTAATTTCACTATCCGGTCTTGCAATTTCAACAAATGATTGATTGCTAAAACCTTTTCAATCTTTAAATTCTTCAATTGTTCTAAACATTAATGGGTCTTTAGTATCCACAATAATGTATTCCTTAATGTAAAATAAAGGGTATATAAACCATTTAAATTTTTGAATTTAGTTGCTTTTTTCGTATCTTTCTCTGATAGTTCCTTCTTTTTAGATTTTTACGTAGAAACAAGGTTATCTACTCTTTTCTGTTCGACATTAAAACTATAAAGTAATTTAGCAACTTATGCAGTTTCTAATTCTAAATGATTATATGATTGTTCAATCCTTGCTTTAATTAATACTAGTTTTTTACAATTCTTTAACTCCTTTGCTGAATTAGTTTGTCTTG